AGAGAGAGAGAGAGAGGCCGAGTAACTCGGCCAAGTCCGAATGGACTCAGCCGAGTTACTAAACACTGTTTTGAACAGTTGAACATTGTAGCTCAGGGATTTAAAAATATAATTTCTCAAAAAACATTGTAGCTCAGGGTATTTGACTTATTACAACAGTATCTACTAGTGCTTGTTTCTTTAATTTTTGTTGTCGGTTGATTTTCCTGGCTCTTGAATGCCTGACTTATAATATTGCCAATTCCAAACGTGGTATTGTTTAAGTTGCTCATTCATATTGTAATGTATTCCTTTTTGCGGTAAGTCCCAAAATAAAAATATCTTCCATTATTTTACATAGTCATGGATTTCTTATGAGTTTTGAGTTGTAGTTATTCAAAGGACTCTGCAACCCTAGTCATATAATTCTCGGCAATCCTTAGGACTGTCAATTCTAAGCATTCATAAATTGACTAACAAAATGAATCCAAAATGATGGGAAGGCTATGTATGCATAGTAGCAGTCAAACAGACATATGCTAGACAAGATCTAAACAGCAGTATTTGATCCAAGAAGATGCAAATTCAGGTTTTGGATGAGAATTTACAGTGCTAATGTTATTCTTATTTCTAGTTATCCTTCTATTTAACATCAAAATCCAACTGAAATGGCCACCCTGATTGAAACTGATTGAATTTATTGGACCAAAGCAATATCAAATTGGTCCCTGTAATGGCCAAGGCACTAGCTAGGTTCTCATAACAATCGTGTAAACAAACAAGTATAGCACTAGTAAATGGTTCATGAAAATGAAATTAAAACCCTTCGCTATCATTTCTGCATACGAATATAGTTTCAATGTCTTTAGAAATGAACTTACCAGATTCTTCAGTCTCCTCATCACTTCCATCTTCAATTTCATCTGCAAAAGACAATCGTGCATCTCCCTTCACTCTCCGCTTTTTTCGCTTTTGCATTTGAAGCTCCTCCTCCCTTTCAAAAGGAAGCCTCTGTTAGAACATTCTCAATATCATTTCAAGGAGAAAATAATAGCAAGTAGAATCACTATGAATGTCTCACTCTTGCTGCAATTTTTGAAGCTTCTCCTTCTCTTCCTCTTCAATTTTGTTTCGAATGTTAACACGCTGTGGAGCAATTCAAAGAAGGCAAGCACATCAGTCTCCAGAATATGAAAGAAAAAATAAAGACACAAAATAATTTGCAAGACCAGCTTACCTTCTCAACATACTGTTCTCTGGTGACAAGACCAACAGTCTCTTTTTTGAATGCAGTCTCAAGAATCTGAAAGTTATTCACATCCATAAATGCTTCAAAATCATTGCATTTAGCAATAGAATATTGTTCATGAAAGGAATAAACAACACAGCCACATATATACATCTGTAGTAACATAGATTACATAATGCAAAATAATGCCCTAGCCTAAGATTCAAACTTTATTAAATTTTGATGAAGTTATATGACATAGTATTAAGTTGCCAGGGATCTTAGGATAGAAAATCCAAGTATATACTATCTGTTTGTCACAGCAAACAGATAGTATTAGTTAGTTGCTGTTGATGGAATGTGGCAATTAGATCAATGGATAGTTAGTTGTAAAACAGAACAGATGATTCAGAATATATTTTAGGGCTGGGTGGACTAGTGAGAACATTACTCATTGGACACTTCGTTCATTGGTGAATAAAAATATGGAATCTTCAGAGTAGCTCTGTAGAGAGGTTGAGAGCAGTGGAGCTCATAACAGAGAAGCAAACTACTAATGGGGTGATTGAAATAAGAAGTTGATGAGATGTAAAAAGGGTCAGGATACAGCAAGGAGTTTTCATGTTCATGAATGCTTAGTTTCCAAGACATACAACGCAGCCAAAGGGAGATTATGGAGAGGAAAGCACAGGATTAAATTGCAACCAAAACCATGAAATACATTAAGAAATATGTTCAGCTTGATATGCAGTGCATAGCCCACTTGTCTATCCCTTCAGAATGCACGTGGTTAGAAAACCAAGTCATGCCCAATATTCAACACCAAAACATGAATTTTAAGCCATTTTGTCCCTCTAGATATCTGGTATATCAATTTATGTACTTTTGATATTATCCATCAAAAAACAAAGCAAAAGATGTCCTTTTGATGGTGGAATGCAATGAAAAATGACGATAAGGAATACAGGAAAGGCTCAATAAAGTCATCCCTAAACAATGGAGAAAGAAAAAAATAATGGAATGTGGGACCTAAAGAGCAAAATATAACAAATTCAGCTCCAAACACTCCATCTAAACAGCTAGATATTTTTTCTAAATCTTCTTTGTTCATGCACACCAGACGTCAAGTATATGTGCTACCTTGAGAACATCAGGGTGAGGATTATCAGCTTAGAGGCATTTAATTTTTAGTTTTATCATATATGGTAACAAATTGTCACATGTCAAATGATTTTTAGTTCAGTTTTAAGCCTTTGATGCAAGAGCTATGGCCATCTGTACAGGTTGATAACTTGATAATGGATTTTTTTCTTGTACAGTTGTATTTGGTTCATGCTTTGCATTTATTGTGTAACACTACTGAGAAGATCATACACAGTTCTTCTCTTTCCTGTTAAAATACATAAATAAACATACAAACATATCTAGATACCTAGGTAAGATAAATGTTCAGGCTATATTAAGATATCTTATCTTCAGTTAAAAACTTTATTGTTTCCCAGTATTTCCAGAGAAAAGCAGCACCACAGTTTCTCAAACTTAGCAGAATCGGTCACGTAATGACCACCAGTGAATTAAAACGAGGACTCGCGCTCAGCCTCACCAGGGTCTCGAGCCCAAGTCATATTGTCCAACTCGAATGAGTCCTGGTTCATACAGGCCAGGTTTTAAGATAAAAAATACAAAAATGGGGAAGACTTGGGGTGATTCCATGGGCTCACATGGAATCGCCAGGGTCCGGATCAGGGTCAATTGCCGAGAATCATTGATGGCCATATTTATAAACTTAACCAACATAAACAGAAAGGTGAAACTTCTCCAAAACACAAAAATAAAAGAAAGGCCAAAAAAATCGACAATACTGGAAGAAGGGGCAAATGAAGATGTGGAATTAGGGATGCATTATCCATCACAAGCCAAAAATCCCATTTTTCATAGTCATGCAAAATTTCAGGATTTTAACAATACAAGGGAAATACTGATTAACAGATGCTTAAATGAACCCAAAAGGGTTTCATCAGAAAATAAATTGGATGAAGAAAGAGAGAGAGGAGTTCAGGGTTTGAGAGAGTGAAAGATTTTAGGGTTTCTATAGAGAGGGAACCTCAGAAGTTCCAGAGCCGAATTGGAGGAGGCCAGTTTGGCCACCTGCTGAAGCGGACTTGTTCTTGAGCTCCTGGATTCGCCTTCGCTCCACTTCCCTCTGCTTCTCAAGCCTCCTTATTCTCACTGCGTCTTGGGCTGTGCCCACATATCCATCCCCCATTCCAGACATCTTCCCTACCCCTTCTCTCTCTCTTGCTGATTTAGCAGGGCTTTCTCTCTATCCTTAATTCCACCTCTTCGTTTGCCTCTTCTTCGAGTATTGTCGATTTTTTCCTTTTCTGTTTAAGTTGGATAGGTTTATAAATATGGCCAGCAATGATTCTCGGCAATCGACCCTGATCCGGACCCTGGCGATTCTCCCCATTTTTTTATTTTTTATCTTAAAATCTGCCTCTACGACCCACGAGTCATTCGAGTTGGACGAGATGACTTGGGCTCGGGATCCTGTTGAGGCTGTGAAACAAAAAGATCAGGGAGATCTTTCAAGATTTTCACGCAAGGTAAAAAGGGAGACGTGGGCTGCTGAATGTCTTAGAGCTAGCATCATTTTATCCACAACCAAAGTCATTGAGGTGAGATAGTCCTCACAATACGCTATCTAAATCAATCGCAGTTGTTTTATCTGAACGGTCAGATTCAAAAGAGAGGTTAGACCAAAAATAATATATCTTATTCGTATTTGACGCACGTGTTAAAGAACAAAAATCCAAATTTGATAAAAAATCACATAAAATTATAAATTGTACTCATTGAAATTAAGATTGGCCATTATTTCTGCTGTAGCTTTGAGAATAAATTTATTCAAAATGTGAGGCATATTAAAATTTAGGAGAATTTTATAAACTTTAAGAAGATTTATAAATGTACCTAACTTGTCAACTATTCAACATTAATACATTTTCGACTATTAGCTCTCAATCATGTCGACATTTTGATTGGTATTTTTTAAATTAAATCAAAAGAAATAAGTAAAATATTCAATAGTTCATATTATAGGTGTGTATTTTTGTAAATTTTTGGTAAACATACTATTTTCCCCTTGAGATTGTAAATTTTCATTTAAAAACTACTTTAGGATTATTCAAGAGGTTTGGTATTGGAGCTCCACATATGGTTCAGACCAGTGGTTTTGAAAAACGGATCAGTACCTCGGATCGGGCACCTCAAAAGTCCATCCGGATCGGTGAATCGACGATCCAGATCGATAATTGATCGAATCGATTGGATTAAGCCCTAAAAAAAATTTAAAAAAATTATTAAAATTCATTATAAATATTTCTTTTAAGAATCCAATAAGAAATGAGGGTACTACATGATTAACTGTCCTTTTTTTCATCAATATGCGAATAGTGAGATGTTTTTTCCAGGTATAAACTTATGTTAAACATTAAATTTACATCACACAAAAGAAAAATCATAGAATTATCATGGATGAAGTATACAATTATACATGGACTAAAATAAAAAATGGATTAAATCAATGAAAAATGGCCACCAAAATCTCGAATTGACGGAAAACCCTAATCCGCTAAAACCCTAATACTTGTTGTATTACCTTTTTTTTTTTGGCAAGAAATACTTGTTATATTACCTTTTTATTTTTTTGACAAAAACTCTTTATTTTTATTTTTTTTACAAGAAATACTTGTTGTATTACCTTTTCTTTTTTTTTTCTTTGATAATAATGTTTTTTTTTTTTGACAACAAATAATTATTATATTACCTTTTATTTTTCTTGTGGCGGGAGAATTTGAACCAAGGACCTGTGATAACCAAGTAAGCCCACAACGCCACTTCTACCACTATCCACGTGATATAAAAATATTATACTATATTACCTTTTCAAGCCAAGTACGACTCTCAAATCCCACATCGCAAAATCGAAAAGAGATTGAGTTCTATGAATGTTTCCTTGGTACCACATGAGGATGCATGTGAAGTCAGGCAGCATGCGACTTTTTGCTCAGGGACATGTGGCGCTGAGTCCTTGTGGCGAGTCACCGTGTCACTGTCGGTCACTGTACCTCGCCGTGTCACTGTTGGTCATTGTACCTCGCCTTGTTACTGGCGACTGGTTGTTTCAGCTCTGGAAGAGACCGATTTATTTTTGGTATTTCGCAAGGTTTCGGCTCTAGAACTGCCCGATTTTCGAAATTTCTTTCGGTATTTCGCAAGAATTTGTTTCAGCTCTGCTCGATTTTCGGTATTTCGCAAGAATTCGTTTCAGCTAGATTTTCAGTATTTCGCAAGAATTCGTTTCAGCTCTAGAACCGGTAGATTTCCAATATTTCGCAAGAATCGGCACGGGTTGCCAATTCTCGTGTCCCCGGGTAATTTTGAGTCAACTCGCCATTTTTTAAACCAAGTTAAGACAAAAGTGGAATTTAAAGAGAAGTATTTAATTACTTGCTTTAGGAATCATGGGGTGTCATAGTATTGGATCACAATGTGGCCTTCTCACTAAATCAAACAAAACTAATCTCAATGTTTTACAATAATTTATGCATACTTAAATAAAAAAAATTTCATTTTATTTTTAATTAGTTTGTGATGTGAAAGAACAATTAGATTTTTCAACTATTTGTATTCATTTCCTAAAATTTAAAAATAAAAAATTTCCTATTTTATGACTCTTTAAATTAAGATTGTTTTAGTTGTTTTTAACCAAGTTGTTCCACCATACAATTTGATTTTCTAGAAAATTGTAAATTATCATGAGTAAAAGATAGTTCCCTAATTAAATATACATTAACTCTTACTTTTTTAGAAAACTCATTTTTGCTATGCAAGTTTATTCTTTTACCTAAAAAGTAACATTATTAAAATTACTTATAAGTAAAGATTTTACCTAATTTTTATTATAAATGTTGTAATTCTATTTGTTTATTTTACATGTATTAAACCATAATGTAGACGCTCCTCCAAATTGAAGTTTATCTTGAGTTCTAAATGCTAAAGCACTCAATCCCAATACACCATAGGATACATTGGATCATAATAGCCCAAAATCTTCACAAATATAGTTAGAAATCCCATACATCCTAAGTTAAGAAGCCAAATTACCGAAATTAGGTAGGTTTTACACTCAAAAGGAATGTTTGGTCTTTCTACAAAAGATAGACATACGAAACCCTAGCCTCCAAACCTTAATCCTGGTTCCAAATCTGAAACCCTAACCGTAGCCTTGGGCCAGTGAAACCCTAGATTTATGACCATGTTCCAGCCAACCTCAGACAAAGAAAGCACTATTTTTGGCTAATCAAAAGCCCTAAATTTTAATTCCAAGGCACCCCGCTTCCCCGGAGTGAAGTCAACTAACTGGATCTGCAACCTCAATCGATCAAGGAGCAAACTCAATCTTCACCATCTAAGCAGGTATATTCCTTCTTTTTATTTTGTTTTTTTCATTATTTTCTTTAGTTTATACTATTGTTTATTTCCTTAGAAAAATCTATTATAAATTTGTTTTTCCGAATTTCACACAAACCTAAGCAGGCTCGGTTTAAGTTGATCTACTCATAAACTGTAACTTGATGGAACCCACCTCTTTCGATGCTTTAGAATATACTTTTGGATATGATCTCAGATGGATCAGACTTTGAGTAATATGATCAATCTCGAAATTGTGTCTAAACACATGAGTGAGGATACAATATGTGGAATTCATTTAGATGAGATATTTAACAAACGAAGGAGATTAGCGTAGGCAGCTTACTAAGTTTTACTAAGTTAGGGTGATGTAATGAGAAATTAAGGTTAGAAAAATGAAAACTTTAATCATACATGAGTCAGAAAGATTGAATCTCAAAATTTTATATTTAAAACTATTGGAGATAACTTTGTCTCTTTCACAAATCAAAAGATAATTTTGTCTCTTTCTCTATCATGAATATTGAGACTGCAAAAGAATTTGGACATTCTCTTTTTTACTTGTATTTTTTTTTTTCCTGGCATGTATAAAGTATGTACATTTGTTTGGTCCTAAAAGTACTCCTGAATAAAGCTTTACTCCATGTTAAACCTCGAGAATCTTGAGAGAGGATTTAAACGATGGAAACTAATATCTTATCATTATACAACTCAATGTCTTAGCACAATTAATATTGACCAAGATTGCAGAAGAAAAAATATCGCATAAGCTACGTAATCATAGTCACAACCATAAAATATATTTTCTTTTCTTGATTTAATATTTCATTAACTGCTGAAAATGAAACAAAGTTCATCAAAATCCAAAATCTAATGAACCGAATAATTCATCTCAAATACAAATTTTCAAATTAACGAGTCTTTGACGCCTGAATATTCAACTGACCGATTAGTTTTTTATAGCATACTTTATTTTTCTTTGACACGGTTCGACAATGATAAAAAGGAGCGGTTTTTGCTATATATTCAACTATGTGACATTTTCATCTTCATAGGGCTATGATAACCATGTGGATCATATTTCATAGGAGACAGGTTATAGAAGTGCAGTTAGGATTGATGTTAGAGAGAGAGGTAGAACAATTACCCTAAACAACTATGTTACAGTTGATAAATTGGCTAGAATAGGAATACTTGTAGAGTAAAAAAATTAATGGCAAAAATTAATATGCACGAATTAGCTTAGTTGCACAACTTTTAATAAATACAAATATTGCATACCAAATATTCAGCTATATTTCAATATTTTTTCTTAGTTTCAATGAGATTCAACTTCATTAGTTTTCAAAATTTCAACTATTTTTATTGTTAATTATTTTCACTTTCCAGAAATTATTAAAGAAAATTGTTAGTCATTTTCTTTGCTATTATATTCTTAAATTTCTTCCTTTCTAGTTGTAAAAAAAAACATTATAAAAGAAGTAGATTAATCATATACAATATTTAGTAAGCTCAATTTGTAGCTAAAATCATATGCAATAAGAATCACCAATATATAGATATTTTATTTTATACGAGTTTTATAAATAATCAATTCGTATCATATGTAATCTATTTTATGACATCCTAAACCAAATGCAGCGCGCGCACAGTTCGCTATAAAGAAAATCAGACCAGATGCGCCTAAAAAACAAAGCATCTAACCCAAGAATGGATAGTATGTAGAGTACCTACATGTTTTCAAACCAGAAACTGAAAATCAATGGCACCCCAAACAGCCCCATGTCAAAAAGGGTCACCCTTTAGTTTCAAGTTTCAAGCAATATTGTACAATCGTTTGGTGTTGACCTCTTGTCGGTCCGGTCCGGTCATAGTTAGTAGTTAGTCAGTGGGAATAAAAACTTAGAGCACTAGCTATAAGGTTCAAGTGAGGCTACAACCATGGCCTCAATTCCATTATTCAAGGAGTTGTTAGCTGAACTTGGTATAGGTATTACATACTATGCGCTTTCCTATTTGAACTTCGTCAAACAACAACAATAACATAGTTTCCGCATTCAAATACTAATAATAATAAAAAATAATAATAATAACAAATTCATAAGAACTATAACATTAAAGAAACAACAAATTCATATAAAAATAAAGAAAATAAAGAATATT